TTTCCCCGTGTATTTTATTCTTTCGCGATTGCTTACCACTGGCCTGGGCGTTTCTCAATTCGATAGGTAGCGACCTGATGGTGTCCAAGAAGAGGCTCAGGTAGTTGGATTGGGATATAGAATCGGCCAACAGTCCATCCGCTTGCCTATCCAGAGCAGCCAATAGATTCAAAAGCAAAAGGGCAGATACTCGGCATGTCTCCTGGCCAGCATACGCATCATCGCAGACGGCCTCAATCAGGGCATGGCCTGCGGCTTTAATCACTTGCTGGCTCTGGAGCCTCATACTTTGATGCACGGGCTCTGTTGATATAATACCGGCGACATAGTGTGCGCAGGTGTTGTAAAAGGTCTCCCTGATGCTTACATTTCCGTTTGCTAAGGTCACACCTCTGACGCAGACTTGGAATAATTGATGAAGCTTTTCATCAAGAACGTCGCCACTCCTGCGGGGAATGCCAGAACCAGGCTTCGGAGATTCCAGCCTACTGACCAAGGTCTCGGCCAGTCGTGCCAGCTCTAAGCCTTCCGGTAGGTCTTCTTCAATAGCAATTTCCAGCTTGGGGAGGATCAACTGGAGCGAATGCAGGATGAAGGTAGCTCTCCTTCCGCCTTCAATTTCAGAACAAGTGAGCATCGTGGTGATGAGCTGGGTCCAAGACCGTAGAGCCAAATAACGATTGAACGCGATCTGGCTTGCTTGATTTGTGGACCGTACGAATAATATCAAACTCTCGGACTCGGCCTGGAATAGCTCTTCGTCCTGAGGGCGTAGATGCCCACTCAATGACAATTCTTCCTTTCTAACCTGGACGAGTTCCACTATCTCGTCCAAGTTGTAAACAATCGGAGAACTGTCCGTTTCCGGTCTCGCACAGAGGTCAAATTCAAGACCATCAAGGAAACTTAGAGCCGGTGGTTGCAATTGATGTTGAGTGTCCAGATCTGCGAAATCGAACATATCGAAAATGGAAGGATTCACAATGGTCTCCCCAGTCTCCGAAACAGAGTTTCCAAATAGAGTCGATATTATTTCAGCTTGAAGAGTCGGAGACCCGAGCTTTGTAGCCGAGCGAATTTCTGTAGCAGCGTAGTCGAACAAATAGCTTCTGTAAAGAAGGAATTCTGCAAGACCAGCCGTTGACTCAGAGAGCCAGAACTCAGGCGTGCCGATCAGAAATCCATCCCAGGGTGTGTTTGGCCCTATGATCGGCTGACTCGCAAACATACTGAGAAGGAAGCGACTGCCACGCATTTCGGCGAGTGTGAAGTAGGAAGAAAGTTTAGAAGACCAAAGGTGTTTCAATACTCCAAAGGCCATGCGCTTGACATGCACCAGCCATGGGAGAATATTGCCATCTAGCTCGTCAGGGTAGTTTTGCAAGAATCCGATGACAGCATGGAGCAGAGACATCTTATCAGCAAACAGGCTGTCGGGAGCAATGTCAAGTATGTTACCGATGCTGTTAAACCCAAGGAGCAGGTGAGCTATCGTAGGTCGGTCATTAATCGTGCTGAGACAGCTGTTGAGAAGTGCCAGGAGGCTTTCCCTGATAATATATCCTGGCGACTGTGGGCCAGATTCTATCTCTCTTGACTCGGGTTGCATCTGAGACACAAGAGGACGCGACACACTGTTGAGATCTACCTCAGCACTAAGTACTTCGACGATCTTGTTCGGTGAACGCCACTTAGACAACTCCGGAGACGTGATCTTGTTCAGCTTTCTCGAGCTGGATAGCTTCTCCAGTAACGCCATTGATGTGACGGTGAGTTGCTGGTGCCCAGTGCTGCAGTAAAGACACAACGCAGGGATTATGGACAGGTTATTGAGTATGCTATCCTCAAAAGCTGACAGCGCAGAGTTCGCCACATTTGTTCTGCTTGTGCCGGTCTGAGCCTTGATTGCCGGCCTCACAATATTAAAATATGTCGATTGAAGGTCGATCATCATGTCCATGACCTCCAAGCTCCGGACCAAGGACTGGACGAGGACGGAGTCTGATGAGGCCTTTGCAACCTCATTAACATCTTGATGGGCAGTTGCAAAGATAGCTTTGATCACGTCCTCATTGAAAAGCCACTCTGTGACTCGTGCAAAGGGATGAAGACGAATGTAGGTGACGAATGTCGATTGCTTGATAACGCTATCGGTGGATATCGTAGGCTGGCTGAGAACGGAGACCAGGCTTTCGTTGAAAGATTGCAGACATGTCACGATAAAGTCCAGGCAGTTGTAAGTCAAGAAGCGAGTCTGCCGTTCGTTCAGATCCGGAATTTTCCTGGAAAGAGCCTGACCCATGACAAAGTCTATGTAAGGTTCAATGCCTGGCATCCGGTAGGACGAACCCAGGCTCTCGGGAAACGGCAAGGAGAGGTGAAAATCAGCTGAATCGAGAGCAGGGGAGATGAGCGAATACACGAGACGAACGAAGGCATTGGCTTGATCGAAACTCTCGCCAATCCTTTGGAAGGCCTGTTGCTCATGCCACACAAGCGGGTTGGAAACGACCGGGACTTTCCCTAGGTTGGAAGCACTCATAGAACCCCCGGAAATCCACTGGTCGATAGCAAGCCACATTTCGTTCCCATTGTGAGAAGTTCTATCCGTCATCAGGGCCGCAAGTGCTGCAAAAACGTTTGCTCGCAGATGCGTAGGGATGGGCCCACTGCAAAGCGTCAAAAGCGTACCAACGACATTAAACGTAGGGTGATGAAGCAGCCAGTCTCGTATCGTAGCACTCTGCTTACTCAGATGCTCTAGCAGCCTCAGGTAGCATGTCAACATAACCGGACTCTCCGGCTCGCTCATATCAGCTGGGTCGAGTTTCCTTGAGCGCAGGATTGCCTGCGAGGTAGACGGCTTTTCAGTAACTCTCGTCGCGTACAGTTGAAGCTCGGCGAACATCTGTGACCAGTTCATGGACGTAGATCGTTTGAATTTCGCGGACATGAACTTGTCCTCTTCAGACAAAAACCGATGGGCCGCAGTGGCATTGTCCTCGCCTACGGAGATGGAGCACAGCAACTCGCAGAAAGCGCTGACCCTGGGAACAGTTTGCCGTTTCGATGCCCATTGGAGGAAGCCATAAAGGTTACCATCTGGATCAGCCCAAAATTCCTGTGCGGAGTCTGGCCGATGCTCGAACGCGAATGCCATGATCATCAAGAACGACTCAAGATGTGTTCGGGCCTCTACCGGGCCACGATGGAGGCTTGAAGTCAAGCCGTCTCGCAAAGCAGTAAGATGATCCAATCTTTGCGAATCCTCTTCCGTCTTCAACATCCGCACCGCATCGGGCATGTTCGCTATGCATGCCTCGGCAAAAGCCTCGAAATTCTCCATTAGAAGAACCTTCAAAAAGTCCGAGCAACTATCAGTTTCGAGTGTTGCCGACGCGCTTTCTTTCAATAATAATGTGACCAGTTCACTACGAGCCGGATCAGCCCATTCTTCATCATTCACGCCATAGCAGACGGCAAGGATGAGTTCGAGGCCTCCATCATCCAGAGCAGTCATGAACATCTTTGTGCGCTCCTCTGAATCTTTTTCCAGGTCCACACCTTGGAGAGGAGATGCAGGCCCATCGAAGTCCCACCCACTGTAGACAGCGAGCCATAGTGCGATGACGGCAGAGTGGAACGTGGGGATCTTCCAAGGCTGAACGTCTTTGGAGGATGTGATCGCTGTATGCAGGCTTCTAGCATCCCTATAGGAACTAGAGCTTTCCGGAGACCCATGCTGGACAAAAGACGCAATTATGCATGGAAGGTAGTGAATAAGGAGTCCATCGAAACGTTCGAGCTTCCGAAGTTGGTCTAGAAGTAAGCGGAGGTCCTCCGAACTGGTGTAAGGTCCTTTGAATAGGTAGCATAGCACAGCACCGAGGGATTCGTGTTGTTGCTGTAAGCTGCTGCGTTGGTATTCGAGAGCCTCCACAATGTCGTATTCCGCTGACTGACCAACAATGGACGCTTTCTGGGTTTGCTCGTTCAGGAGGACAAGCCACTTCTCAATGTCTTCCATCGACTTCATGCATTTGCGTGTATATAGTGACGCATTCCGCAAAGGTCCATCCTTTATTTCCACCACAAACGCCAGCATTTCCTGCATGAGAACCTGTGTCATCTCCCGCTCCACCTCGAAGGACTCCTGGAAAATAAGCCGTAGAGAGTCGAGCAAGAATTGTCGGCGCTCATGGAATCGCATGATCGCAGCGATGACGGGAGGCCGATCCAAGACATGAGCATCCTCCTGCGCCGCCATAAACAGCATTGCCGCTTGCAATTCATCGATATTCAGTGCATCTGCCAGCATTAACGCTCCTTGTTGAAATTCCTCATTGATTGAGTACTCGAGGTCGTCAACGGTAATTTTACCTATATGATATCACATTGCAAGGTCAGCGCATCGAATAAAACTCTTGAATAACAGTTTGGCTCATCAAAACTCACCGGAGAGGACCGCCTGGCGACTTGTGTTGTTCTTTGGAGGTTTGTCGAGGAGCTTCTTGAAATCATCGATGTGAGCCTCCAGCTCGACTCGAAGACGCTCGATGTTCACAAAGGACGAAGCTGAAAGAGCAGAGAGATCCTGATACAGGCCACGAAGGCCTGTTGCAGCATCTCTTTCCTCCATGCTTGAAAGGTGTGCGCGCAAACTGCGAGGAGCGCCGGCAAGTCGGAAGATCTGATGTGTTTGTCCCGGCCAAAAAAGGTCGGAGGACGCGATCAAACTTCCGGCGGTCTGAAGGCGGGCGGCGGAGCTTTCAGCTCACATCAACCTACCTTTACCGCCCGCCGCGCCCCAGACAGAAAGAACTTACTTTCGGAGATTCGGAGCATCCAAACACCAAACGATAAATGGTTTTTGGGCCATTGATGATTCTTGAGGCCCTTTCCCCGCTTTACCCCTGGTGTCCCTGAGATGTCTTGAAATTCTCTAGACGGCCACAAACCGGATATGGCATTACTGCCAATTACGTAGCTCTTCTGCTCTACTTGACTTGTGCATCCCCTCACATTCATCATGGGCGACATTACCTTAGATGGGGCTATTGCGCTTCTGGCTTCGGAGAAGCTCAGAGAGCGCTCAGACGGGCTTGCTGGTTTGTCCTGCACATATACCGGATTCCCTGACTGTGCGGTTCTAACTCAGACTAGATCTAAAGCATATACTCCTGAAGAATAGAAGAAACTCAAAATTGTATGTAAAGTGTTCGTGCTGCTCCGTATGTATATGCACTGGAGTCGGACAGCCATTGACATGTTCGCATACATCTAGAAACTCACTTAATGACAAAGCCTGTCACAAGATCTTTGAGTCATTATTCCGGTTTGTATCGGTTGAGAAGTCTCAATACAATCGGTCCAATTCCAAGGGAGCTTCTGCAAGTCGCTTGTCATCCTGTGCATCTGTCCTTCGAATCGCTGTTGATGTTTTCCTGCGCAATCTGCGCACGAAGTCCGTTCGTGCAATCGTTGATCACATTACCGATACTCTGCTAGGCCGTGGAAGCGACTCGCTCTTTGAACTGCTTAGTGTGGACTACGCTAAATGTTTGGTCATGCTCCTGCGCCATCCTCCCCACCTCGAGCATCTTGCTCTTAGTGAATGGGAGAAAGTCATGGACTTTTGTCTAAAAAGTATTAGTGCTCACACTGATCAGGAGGGTCTTACGATTCGAGAGAGGCATTCTTCCTTCTTGGATGGGTATCTCTCTGCTGGAGGCAGGGCCTCCACACCGGCCAGATCAACTCCCATGCCCACTGCGAGCGAGAAGCCAAAAGGTGACACCAGCGCGGCCACGGAAGCTGTTGTCTGTATCCAGCTTTTGGTCGGGAGTCCGAGCGCCCCAATTCAGGAAGCAGCCGAGCGTGTACTTCATGGGCTCACAAAGTTCGTGGGGTCATCGATGATCGCTGGGAGTGGACACCAAGCTGCGTTCGCTAGCGTAAACACAGTTGTCATGAAGATTTTATTCGATCAATCTGAACTTGCGAGGTCGTCGCTTCTAGACATCGTACCGGCAATTAGACGTTTTTGGGCAACTAAGTTTTTAGGTCTGAAAGATGAGATGCTTGTCACTGTTATGCTGTGTGCAGTTATCTTAATTGATGCCACCCGGAGAGATCCATCGGAGTCAATTGCGCGTGTGATTGAGGAACTCTTGGAAACCCTGTATACGGAGTATACCAAACGTTCTGAAAAGGAGATTTTACAGCTGGATGAATTAATGTTCCACCACAGTGGCTCTGAGCAACAGCAAGAATACTCAGCATGGCCGCGTTTTGAAGGTGCCAGATCTGAACACAATTGGACGACGCTATGGATTATAGCCAAGTTACTCGAACTAGCAGAGGAGTTACGCGATCAGTCGTTACTGTATCCCACATCCGGAGAGGCTGCAACCAAAAGGCAGCGTCTCGCCTCGCATATAGAAGATATATTTCGTGATTCAACGGTGTCTTCTGGAATGAGGAGGCTATATGCTCTCCAGCTAATACCTTTTCTCCCTAGGAGCTACGCCACCGCCGAGTCAAAACTCTCTCTGCTCGAGCGATTGCTTCCCCATATAATGGATGATAATGCCACAACGGCTTCCTGGACAATGGTAGCGATTGCAAGGTAGGTAGCAATTAGCTTTCAAGGTAAATCTGCGACTGACACAAGTCATCCAAATAGTATTGCTTGTAGCTCTGATGCAAGCTCTCAATCGCTGAGACATTGCTGGCAGCGCGCATGGGACATGGCGTCCCATGTCTCTCCTTCTCAAGCAACAGCCAGAGCTGCTTGCCACCTGTTGAACATTATACTTCAGCGTAGTCTTCTAGACTACCAAATAGTCGCGCAGGCAACAAGCTCCATGCTCACGTCAATCAATACAAATGGCCCCTCAACCATCTCCGATTCATCACTGGCATTTTGGGCGACATTACTTCGGATCACCTCGCAAATAAACCCGGGCTTAGTACCAGATGCCTCCAACAAAATTTGTTCCTGGTTGAGGGAAACTTGGGGAACCGGTAAATTCTTCCCAAAGCTGCGTCCATATCATCTTAGCTGACCTGTGTCATTAGGTTCTCTAGCCGATCGGTTACAGATAGCCCAAGTTGCAATGTTCGCACGTCCTTTAGACCTTCTGAACATGCTCTTTGCATGTGCCAACAGGCCCTTCACATTACCCAAGGCCCGTTACATAGGCCCGGTAGGACTCATTGCTAGAGGTTGGCACTTTTATCTCAAGAACAAACGGCTCCTCAACTATATCTTTGACCTTCAAGGGTCGTTGGATTTGGCCGAATACTGGGAGCCGCAGGAGACTTTGTCCCTGGAGAGGTTTCCTCGACAAGACTCTAGTGACAATATCGCCCTTGATCTGCTGCAAACAAAAGTTGAGGGACTTCTACAGACCTGGGAAGCACTATCTGAAGACAAAACACACCATATTACTGTAGATCTAGTGCAAATCGTCACATCATCTTGTGTCACTATTGCATTATATATGGCATGTCTCCCTCAGCAATCTGCAAACCGTGCGTCTGTCATACAGCAAAACAATCAAAGTCTTTGGGAAAAGCTGTGTTCTTTCCTCGCTTCTCGAGAACCCGCCTTTATTCACGCAAGCTTGATGACTCTGACTCCCCTACTTGTGCCCAATGCACTCCTTCCTCGTTCCAGTCCGGCTCTCATAAATGCTCTCTCCAGTCTGGTTCCCTCCCTCGCCAATTTACTGGAAAGCTACAGGGAAAAGCAGAAAGAAGTTTTACTCTTGAGCAACGAAGAGGCTATGGATTTGGATGATCCTATCCTCACTACCTACGACCAATCGACGGAGCTCGTGCATATTTTCAGTAGAAATCGTGAAACATCGCACGTACTTCAAGATATTGCAACCTTACAGCGCAGCATCACCATCTACTTATCCATCTTTCAGAGGATACATGCCTCTTCCATCTCTTCTGACCATTCCTTCCATGATGATCTTATCGAATATCTGACCGGTTTCGACGAGTTTGACATTCTCTCGGCGCAGAATTTCTTACCGCATGTATATCGCGCATGTGTATGCGATGGGGTGGAACGGCATTCTTTGCTAAGAATACTCGAAGACCTTGGTGAGAAATGCTTGCAGTCATACGAAATGGAGCGCTGCGAAAGCTCTCACGTACTTTGTTTACGCATGATGGGCAGCTTTGTTGAAATGTGGACCGGCTCAGAAGATGACGATTTTCATGCTTCAGCGACCGACATTTACTCTTGGTTTACCGAGGTGCTTCTAGCTAAGAAATTGGCCTCCACATCAGTACTTATCGAGTTTACACAGCTTCTGAGTGACTTACTTTCTCACAACGTCACGTATTCCAGCGGTTCGTCTAGCCCGTCACCTAGAACGAGTCTATTCACCATTATTCGAGAAGGAGACGCCGTAGCCAAGTTCTATGCTGGGGAGCTCATCCCTTCACTTTTCGGTCAGTTTTCTCTCACGGAACATGATCTGATCCTAGACGACGTGTTGGAAAGTCTTCCCCGAGATTCAGACTGGGATGAAGGTATCGCTTTGCGCTTGGTTATTTTGGCTCGTCTCGCTTCCAGATGGCACACTCTGCTCCGGAGAAGCATCTATCATATGTTTGAGACCGCTGCCAAGGTCCCAAACTCACTTCGCTATGCGGAAAACTGCCTGCGGGACGTTGCACAAACACTGGGCCTTGAAGATGCAAAGCAACTTTTTCGACTGTTTTCGTCCCAAATAGTTTACACTTGGACTGAGGAACAATCCGTTATGCGCATGCCTTTCAGCATCTTTGGATACAAGAGTCTCAAAGAGATGCTTATAGACGTCCAGGATGAGATAATTGGGCAGGTGATGATGCGCGCAAATGAAACCGAGGGAGCAAAGCTTTCGGCTTGCACCAAAGTGCCTTTTGATCACCTCGTAGTGGACTCTTTTTGGAAGGCAGAGGCATACAGTATAGCATGGGATATCAGTACTCCTCCTGAACAGGGAAGCCAACCACGAGGTGTGGAGAACCGAATGAAGAAGCTACTGGGGACCGACAAATTCGTGTCTCTGATTGAATCTCACTTTCCGCAAATGATAGCAATTTTCTTTGGCACACTGGATCAATACGAACAGATCGAGAGGGCGTTTCTGAAGCGCGAGGGCTTTGAGGACCCGCATGCAGTCCTAAAACGTATAAGCGAGAAGAGTACTTCTGATATCATTTTGCCTGCAAATCAGCAGCCTTCTTTCAGGGCGCGTTATCTCCTGGACGAGCTTGAGTTCCTCTGCAAGCGGAGTGGATATGACCTTGGGACCATATGGACCCCCACCTTGGCAACTTATGTGTGTCGAACGCTCTTAGAATCAATTCATCCCGCCCTTGGCTCTCTACATGCTTGCTCAGTTATCCGAAAAATCAGGATACTCGTGAGCATTGCTGGGCCCGTGATGCTGAGCGACTACCCGTTTGACATGGTGATACACGCCCTTCGACCATACTTGGTTGACATCTTCTGCGCGGAAGACACACTGGGTATCTTCTGGTACCTGTTAGAAGCCGGGAAGGCTTATCTATGTGAAAACCCGGGCCTCATGGCCGGGATCGCGGTCACTACCCTCTTGTCGCTGAGACGATTTCTAGTTGCTCCTCCGACAGAAACAGCTCAGTCTGGTCTAGTCGAAACTGCCGTGGCGAAGATAAAACTCTTTCTCGATTGGTTTGGAAGCTACCTGGAAACATATGAACCCGATGGTCTCAAGCCTGAGAAGAATGAGCTCTTCAGACGTCTGGTTGCTTCTTCTCAGGGCATCAACCCTGCGAATGAGGGCTCCGAAGGCAGTAAAGAGGAACATGATTTGCTCCTAGAAGTTCTCAAAGACCAAAATTCAAAAACAAGCCTGTTAAGTGGCCCAATTGCCGATCACGTCATATCATTGTTATGCACCGAGAGCAAGCAATCTCCTGAAACCCATCTCAATGTCTCTGGTGACGATCAGGTTGTCATGTCACATGCTGTTGCTATTTGCCAAACCCTGCAAAAGTTTGACCCAGGTACCGAGTACAAGCTTTGGGCAGCTAGAGTCATTGGGAGAGCGTTCGCTACCACAGGCAAAATCAGTGACATCCTCCTAAGAGAACAAGATCCGAAACTTTTCGCAGTCCAATCATCTCAGTCACTGCCGAGCCCATTTCATCGCTCGAAGGCTAGCATACTCATGGCGCTTTGCAGTATGCTACAAAATAGCAGTCATATGGAAGTCGGGCTTGTTGAACGTACAATTCAGCTCATTGTCAGCAATCTTGGGAGTTCCCCGGAGTTTGAACCCTGCGGAAGAATAGTACCCTCGACGCTTTTGAAGGCTTTCACATGGAGCCCTTACCAATGCCCGGAAATGCCCATGCCAACCTCAGTGGCAGAAAGCCGAACTGCCCTTACTTGGGATCCAGATATTTCAGTTGGACGATTCGCTCGCAGTATCGCTTTGTTTTTGTCGGACTCGGCTTCAAAAGATCCAGTCATTGGACCTTTGCGCACCATTCTGTGCGTTATACCTGACTTAGCAGTTCAAATCCTACCATACATTCTTCATGACGTCCTGCTGGCGGAAGATGATGGGAAGGTAAACATTCGCAAGACAATCTCGGAGATTTTCGGACAAGTGCTACGGCAAGTTAAGGACCAGACTATTCCTCATGCACGGCTAGTGATAAACTGCATCCTCTATCTCAGGAACCAACCGAGACCAGAGGAGTCGACCATAGTGGAAAGAGACGAGTGGCTTGATGTTGACTACACAGAAGCATCGTCGGCTGCCAATAAGTGCCGATTACCCAAAACAGGATTGCTCTTCCTGGAAATATCTGCATCGCGCGTAGCCTCTACCTCACGTCGCTCATCCGTTGCAAAATCTGAAGCGGCACCGGAGATACTGCATGAGATATTCCGCAAAATCGACGATCCAGACGTTTTCTATGGTATCCAGCAGGATTCATCGTTGGAGGCTGTTATGGATAGACTCGAGCACGAAAGCTCAGGGTTCAAAAATCTGTTGTTCCAGAGCGCGCACTACGATAGCGAGATACAAATGGGGGAAAGCGCCAATGTCCATGGCGTCTTGAAAGCCCTCAATTCTACAAACCTTCAAGGCATTGCCAATTCAGTTTTCGGCATCTCTGGCAGCTCCCGCGATACGTCGGGCTCATTTGAAAGCATGCTGCAAACCGCAAAAGATTTGCGACGATGGGATATACCTGTTTCCCCATTGAGCCCTTCACCTTCAGCATCCGTATTTCGGGCTTTCCAAAGTCTTAACATATCTGGAACGCTCAATGATGTTTTTGCTTCTATTGACGAGTGTCTTTTATCCAGCTTAGATCTACTAACAAGCACTAGTCGTTCAGCAACATCCTTGCGCACAGCGATGCGGAATTTGGGTGTAATGACTGAAGTTTGTGATGTACTGAGCTCTGCATCAACTGAAGACATAAACAACCAGTGGCAAACCATGGTGGACAGGGACTCCTGGCTCAAGACAACAAGGTAGGTCTCCGGGACGATGACCGTGTTATGAATCCAAATCTGACGAATGCAGTGTTAATGATGTCGGCGAAATATTGACTTGTCATGAGGCTTTGTTCTCATCAATCAAAAATAAAGACTTCTTGAAGACTGCCGTCAACATAAGTGATCGTGACGCTCAATTACTGGAAGTGAAGGTCATCCGTCAATCACTCAAAGTGGCGCGAGACCATGGTATCTCACAGGCCTCCTTGAAATCAGCTGTATGCCTTTCGAAGCTTGCACACAATTGCAGCACCCTAGGTATCAACATCGAAGGTGCCGCGAAGTTTGATCTGGCCAATGTTCTATGGGATCAAGGAGAGATGGCAGCGTCGATCCAAATTTTGCAGCAGCTTAGGGAACGGAATGATTTGCATAAACAAGCTATTCCGATAAGCCGTGCAGAACTTCTTGTGACCCTGGTATGTCACGAGTTGTTATCCTCATCAAAATCAGTATTAACATCTAACAGGGCCACCACGTTGCTGAGGCGCGTTTGGAAAAGCCGGATACTATCGTTCAAGATTACCTGTCTGCCGCTGTCAAGGAGCTCAAAACCCGCTCGCTCGGCGAAGATGTTGGTCGAGTCTACCATGGCTTTGCCATGTTCTGCGACCGGCAGTTACAGAACCCAGACGGCTTAGAAGACTTCAGGCGGATTGAACAACTTCGCGACCGTAAAGAAAGGGAGATACACGCGCTCGATGACATGATGAAATCGGCCCATGGAAAAGAAAAGGAGGCTCTCAAATACCATCGGGCGAAAACCAAGCAGTGGTTTGATCTTGATGATCGCGAATATCAGCGTCTGCGGCGCAGTCGCGAGGCCTTCCTTCAACAATGCTTGGAGAATTACCTCCTTTGTCTGAAAGAGAGTGAAAGTTTTAACAATGATGCGCTCCGATTCTGCGCATTATGGCTGGACAAATCTGCCAGCACCATTGGAAACATGGCAGTTTCCAAGTATATCAGCCAAGTCCCAAGCCGGAAGTTCGCACCCTTGATGAACCAACTTACCTCCCGTCTGTTGGACGTTTCGGATGAGTTCCAGAAAATGCTCTTCGCCTTGATCTTTCGCATCTGTGTCGAGCATCCGTATCATGGCATGTACCAAATATTTGCTAGCAGCAAATCCAAGGGCGGCAAAGACCAGTCAGCCCTGTCTCGGAACAGAGCAGCTGGAAAGCTGGTGGATTGTTTGAAGAACGATAAACGCATGGGACCAACCTGGGTGGCTGTTCATAATGCAAACATCAGCTATGTGCGGTTTGCCGTCGAAAAACCAAACGACAAGTACAGAAGTGGCGCCAAAGTTCCCTTGAAAAAGCTTTCAACCGGAGAACGGCTCGAGCAGGATGCCGCAACACAGCGCCTACCGCCGCCTACTATGAAGATCGATATACGCGTTGACTGTGACTACAGCGATGTCCCGAAGCTGGTGAAGTATAACCCCGAGTTTACCATTGCCTCGGGTGTTAGCGCGCCAAAAATTGTCACCGCCATTGCTAGCAATGGATCGCGCTACAAGCAATTGGTAAGCCTGTTCACCTCTATTGATGCTGATAATCAGACTAACTATCCTCAAGTTCAAAGGAGGAAACGATGACTTGCGCCAGGACGCTATCATGGAACAAGTCTTCGAGCAAGTCAGCAGCCTCCTCAAAGACCATCAGGTCACTCGCCAGCGGAATTTGGGCATTCGCACGTACAAAGTGCTGCCTCTCACATCGAATGCAGGCATCATAGAGTTTGTTCCTCACACGATCCCGCTGCACGATTTCTTGATGCCAGCACATCAACGATACTTTCCGAAGGACATGAAACCAAACGTGGCCCGGAAGCATATCGCAGATGTTCAGACCCGATCATTTGAACAGAGAGTGCGAACGTATCGACAGGTCACTGAGCACTTCCATCCAGTCATGAGGTTCTTCTTCATGGAGAACTTTAATAACCCCGATGATTGGTTCAGCAAACGGCTGGCCTACACACGGAGCACCGCCGCCATCTCCATCCTGGGCCATGTTCTGGGACTCGGGGACCGACACGGCCACAATATTCTATTGGATGAGCGAACAGGTGAAGTGGTGCATATCGATCTGGGTGTAGCATTTGAGCAAGGGCGAGTTCTGCCCGTCCCGGAGGTCGTTCCTTTCCGATTAACCCGCGACCTGGTCGACGGCATGGGCATTAGCAAGACCGAGGGGGTCTTCCGACGGTGTTGCGAGTTTACGCTGGAGGCCTTGCGCGAGGAGTCCTATAGCATCATGACCATTCTCGATGTGCTGCGGTACGACCCGCTGTATAGTTGGACTGTGTCGCCTCTTCGAATGAAGCGAATGCAAGATGCACAGGAAGCTGATGGGGGTCCTCCGATGATCCCTGGAGCCAACAACGATCAAGAGTCGACAAATGAGCCCAGCGAGGCTGATCGTGCATTGACAGTTGTCGCGAAGAAGCTTAGCAAGACGTTGAGTGTAACAGCAACAGTCAACGAATTGATTCAGCAGGCCACTGATGAGAAGAACCTTGCTGTTCTTTATTGTGGTAAGTTTGATCTAGTCTACTCTCCCAAGATTGAGAACGGATCTGACCATCTTAGGCTGGGCTGCATACGCGTGAATCAGTCTTTCTTCTGGTGCATCTTTCCCACACAAAATCAGATCTGTAAATCTAATGGCATATTTTGTTCTTACTGTAACTATTGATGTGTGGATCATCTACGAGATAGCGTCACGTTCTCTTTCAATAATATAATGTTAGTCCAAGAAAATGTAAGACATACGGGATATATATAGTAGGGTCAAGCCAATCATGTATAATAAAGTGGCCGTTATTCTGCGGGGCCGTGGCGATAAGCCAAACTTCAGGGACTTCCGCATTTGTCACCTGCCCTGCAATCCTCGAGTGTCTCGTGCTACATTCGCGATTAAGGGGCCTCAAGGTATTTGTGTCTTCTTTACACAAGCATGTAGTTACTAGCAACCCTAGTTCACATCTCTTAAATTGTATTCTAGCACCATCATCCCCCATGTCATCCGCCTCTGCACCCAACCGGGGCCTGGTGGTCTTCTCCGGAGGCAGTGCCGCGAATAACCTCGTTGACGTGTTCAATGCCGTGCGCGGGAGCAAACACTGCTCCCTTAGCTACATCATCCCCATCAGCGACAATGGGGGCTCCTCATCCGAGTTAATCCGCATCTTTGGCGGCCCTGGTATAGGAGACGTGCGCAGTGAGTCACATACCAACCTCCATCCTATCCCACATCTCTAACCAACCCAACCAGGCCGTCTCGTCCGACTGATCCCCGAATCGCCTCCCAACTCTGAACGAGCAGCCATCAAAGCTCTCTTCAACCACCGGCTGCCAGCCGACGCCAGTCTCGCTCACGCAGAATGGCACTCCATCGTAGATGGCACCTCCACCCTCTGGGCCGCCATCACCCCAGCTAAACGGGAACTCATCCGTTCCTTCTTCAACCTCCTAAACCTGGAGATCCTGAAGCGTGCCCGTCCCCCAACCTCCACCTTCGAATTCACCTCCGCCAGCGTAGGCAATCTCTTCCTCACCGGAGCCCGTCTTTTCAGCGGTAGCTTCGAAAGCGCCATCTACCTCCTAGGCAGCATCGGCGGCGTGCCCTGGGACCTGGTCCGGGTCATCCCAGCCATCAACTCCAACTTCTCGCACCACATCTCCGCCTCTCTGGCCGACGGAACCATCATCGTAGGCCAAAACAGCATCTCCCATCCCTGCGAAGCCATCCCCCTTCGCTCTCCTCGCCCCCTTCTCGCCGACGGCACAGAAAACTCTCCCCTCCACCACCCATCATCAACACCAACACCACCCTACTTCGAAGACGACGACCACCCCCCAGGCTTCCTCCCCACCCTCCGCCACAAAAACATCTCCTTCAGCAAATCAGATACCCAGGACCTCCCCTCCCGCATCTCCCGCATCTGGTACATCAACCCTTATGGCCAGGAAATCCAACCGCCCGCTAACCCCCGCGTCATTGAATCTCTCCATGACGCCCAAGCTATCATATATAGCATCGGCTCTTTGTATACCTCCATCATTCCCTCGATTATTCTCCGTGGTGTCGGCCAAGCCATCGCTACCGGCCCAGCGAGGCATAAGATCCTCATCTTGAATGGGTCTCTGGATCGCGAGACAGGACCGCCTCATGAGCCGTTTACGGCTTCGGACTTTGTTGAGGCTATTACCCGGGCTGGGGAGGAGAGTCGGGGTAGGGGTCCGTTGAATATGGACCCTTCTGCTGGTGCTGTGGAAGATGGAGACAGGAGAAAGGAGGAGGAGCGACTCCCGTATTCGGCGTATGTGACGCATGTTCTGCATCTGGATGGCCCAGGCACTCCCCGCGTCGATAAGGATCGACTTGCAGAGATGGGGATCGAGACGTTGCGGCTGTACGGGAGGAAGATTGTTGGCGCTAATGGGGAGGACGTGGGCCTTGGGATGCGGTATGATTCGACGGCGTTGGTGCAGGCGCTCGAGGTGGTGTTGGGGAAGAAAGGGGATGCTATGTTGAGGGGGAAGGATAGGAGTGGGATGAGTCGGAGGAATACACTGGATCCGGGAAGAAGAGACTGAAGAGGAAGAATGGAAGAGTGTAGAGGAGATATTATTTTGGGTTTGACAGAACGGAGCTACAAGCGATTATTGCGATTATTGCGATTATTGCGATTATTGCGATTATTTGTATATTTACAGTGCTTGTTATTAAAATCATGATTAATACCACCATAGGAACACCTCGATTACTCTGACATAGATGATAGATGATGGTCCGTGAATCCGCTGGACGCCGCCCAATGCTTCACGAACGGTTTTCGACATAATACAACTCGTAGAAGAAGATCCAAAAGATGAGATGAAAAAGAAAGGCCATACCGTTCTCAGAGAACGATGAAGTCAGCTAATATATACAGTAAAATGGTGAAGGGTGGGGAGAAAGGATACGCCCATGCACGACCACTAAGCTCGGGCAGATGGTCTCGGTTTCCAGTTCTGACGGTTGAAGCTGACCTGGGGAGACCGGCTCCCTTGGGGAAGGCTTTTGAAGTCAGGATAGAGACTTGGTCCGATGTCCATCAGAATGGCTTTTTGGGGTTCTGCTGCCACCGAGCCAGAAGCTTTTGCACGGTTAATAGGCGAACGCGCATTTGGGGGCGTCAGCGTAGACTTTTGTTTAGTGAGATCTTTGATGATGTCTCGGAGTTCGTTGTCGTCCTTCGAGATCTGAGCGCGGATGAAAGCCGGGTGAGAAGTTTGGAGTGCGGACATGACTGACGGTCGTGGCGTGTACTCGTACTGCTGGGGGTTGGGTGGTGAGATGGGGGTGATGGTGGGATCGAGGAATGCCTTTTCGTTCTTGTCCAAAAGCTGCGCGACGTCAAGACTCTCACCGTGGGGAATCTTGTGCGGGTGGGATGGGGTTACACAGTCCATATCAACTTCTTTTCGCAGGACGTGGTCGATATCCACAGCTGAGAAGTACGCGCAGGACTGTGGAAGGTCGTTGATCCCGACTTGCTGCGAGAACATCGCACGGGTCCACACATTGGCAACCTGCAATGCCAGCGCAGCTCGATACTTGTCTTCGTCTTTGACTAGATATCTAATTTCGTCGTGGACAGTGATTGCCAGACGAGCGGCGATGTTGAAGCGACGAATGAGGTAGTCCATGGCGACAATCAAAAGATGGAGGTAATCAACACCAGATGACTGAATGGCCCAGTTAATCCTTGATGTCATAAAGCTTCCCTTGTTGATGAAGCGCCGCATCAGTGCTTCAGTGATTCCGGCTCCTAGCGTAGGTGTTCTGGGCCTCTCTTGCTCAGCGAACTCCTCCAGTTTGTTGAAGACGAACGACTCGGTCCCGCCCCTCCAGAAAGGACCTTCGCAGAGTATACGGCGAGTCGTTCGGGTACCCTTCGTCTCTTTATATAGTTTTGTTGCAACCTCCTGGGTCTGCCTTTCTGACATGGACGGATTGAACTGACGCAGCAAAGTGGCGGCGAATTTGACGCCAGCTCCATATATACGTCCATAGTTAAAGACTTTGGCATCGTTACGTGAGATACCTAGGATCTGGGCAGTGCGTGAGTGCATATCCGTCCCTGCTGCCTTCGATCCTTCCAGTGTCATAAACCCGATGGCGTTGCCGCCGTGGATCTGGAACTGGGCATCCCCAACAAGACTGGCAATCCATAGTTCCTGAGAATCGACATCTGCGCCGACAAAAGAATAGCCAGGCGGAGCTTTGATCATGGCCTTGAGCTCAGATCCGACACGGTTCCCTTTCGCATTACTGGCTGTCAGCCATGTGTTTTCCACTGCCCTTCGGGTGATGGTTCCCATTGGAATGATCTGTGGCAAGATGAACCCGAGCCGGTGGTCTGTCTTGCTACTCGATGCCAGGTCTCGCACTTCGTCCTCGTAAACAACCATTTGGCCCATGATACGGTCACGAGCACTGATCCAGTAAGAGCAGGATGCATTCATCTCTAGCGCCTCCTTGGCGAGGGCGTACTGGGATGAGAGCGTTCCACGTTCAAAGTACTGCATGTACCCTTTCGCTAGAGGGTTTGTACACCGTGCTTGAGGCCCATCCTTGTGCGGAAGTTTGAAGTAAACATGTTTTCGGTCATTCTGCAATTCGGGGTTCTTCTCCTCGGACATGTCGCATAGAACGACAGGCTGGTTCTCATAATTCTTGACAAGCTCGCGCGGGACTTTGAAAGTCCACCCATACTTATCAGACCATGTCAAAGGGTAACCGTCCCAGGACAGTTTGAGAAGTATAGGCGCGATACGAGTACGCACAGACAAGTTGATGTCTGATGTGTTGGTGGCAAACAGATCTTTATACCACTTCGGCATACCCGGCTTCTTCTGCCTGGCAGCGGGTCGCGGAGGGTCGCCTTTCTTCTTTCCTTTCACCATCTTCACCTCCTGGCCGGACCAGTCCAACTGCCGCAGCCAGGGATCATTCGTATAGATGTCCGGAGAGTCCTTGGCTTTCAAAGCTTCCTCACAAAGTTCGATCATTTTTCGCTGAACATCCTCAAGACGCTGGTGATAGGTTGCTTCCGCATTGGCGATGTACTCCTTCCATGTCTCATTCACTGGCAAAATTACCGAAGAGAGATGTCGAAGGGCGCCAAAGCTGACAGGGTGCGGACAGACTTCAAGGAAGTTAGGAAAAACCTTCTTGTACACCCGGTGGGTGATCGCAACATCCGCTGCACAATAATCAAGCAGTTCCTCCAACTTCCCCAAGATTCCGTCTCTGTCAAGTTCACCGAAATAGTCACGTTGCGCCTTGTCAATCGTAACATCACAATGGAATTTGGCCACATCACGAAGCGAATTAACCGAGCTCCTTCCTACCCAGAGTTCTTCTTCCTCATCACTGAGCATCTTACTTTCTAGTAGGGCTGCCAGCTCAACTGAGTTACTCTCACTCGCGATCTTGTTTCTCAGGTCTCTGTTCTTCTTGTGCCGCATCCAGGTAGGTCTCTGCTGTGAACACATACCATTCACAGCCACGTGAAGGGACATGGTATCGAGAAAGAAGTTGCGAGACTGGGCCATATCATACTCCTCAAGAACGCGAGCGCGATCATAACCAATATTATGGCCCACGACAATTCGCGGCTTCGATGAGTCTCCGAGGGGAACGAGCTGGACCGGGTTTTCCGACTCTCCTAATAACCAGGGCGATATCCAAGCATACCAAGCCGTAGGACTAACAGCGCAAGCCATAACAGCAAAAGAATGCTCCTTGTACATGACTTCGGTGTCGAACGTCAACATGGCCTCATTCGGTGCGTCAACCGCTTCCCACGAGCCGTCGCTGCTGTACTTTGTCCATCCACTGCGTTTTATCCATTTGCGCGGCTTCTCCGGAGAATTCACCACGGCGTACTGTTTGGAATAGGCGAGATAGGGCTCCGATGCATCCATTCCCAGTTTGTAGAAATGCTCATCAAGCGATTGCCCTTGAAGGGCGGGCATGTCAAAGGCGATGGGCTCCGCGGCATCTTGTGACTTTCCGAGTAAATCGTGCCTTGACAAATGTTCCTTTGACAAAGCGACCAAACTTGGATCTGGCGGTTCTGCTTTCTGGAGAAATACTTGGGAGTAGACATGGTCGCTTAATTGTTGGACTCCGATCTCGTTGAATCTAGCGGAAGCGGGGACTGCGAAATCAGTATATAGGGCTTTCGCAACTCAAAACAGCTGAAACACCCACCTGCAAGAGATTCCCGTTTAGGTGCTTCATCAGAAGTATGCGCTACAGACTGAGTCGCAAGATACCTTGCTAGCAATGATGAAGATTGTGGCCGTACGATGCGTGGCGAGCGCAATCTCTGCGAACAAAAGCGTAGGACATCCCTACGACAGGGAGTGCAGGGATGACTCCAGAGCATTTTCTTCATGAATTATAAAAAGACGATTATCCCCATGACATGGTAACGTAGGCGTCGCAGCCAATGCTGCGTGATAGTAAATGCGACGAGAGGGACGCCGGCTTTCCAGGAGCGCTCGTACTTTCTTTCCTATCGCGGAATAATCCCAGCGTCATGATGGAAGATTCCCGGATTATCCTCTCTCCGGATAACTGTCACCGCCTACCCCAATGGGCAGCCGAGTGTTATCGGGCATCGATAAGCCGCCAACTATTTCTCCGATCGCCTTGCCTCCCCTCGTCACCCTTAACTGCACTTCTCGCTTACCTGCGCTGCGAGCTTGCTCAGTGCTGTCTGGGAGATGAAGCAGCAAGATTTACCTGCTGAGGTACAGGATTTTCTAGTCTCTTGACGTATCGCCACCACCACAGAGCACTTCTCAGCGCCTAGCTGTTTTTACGGAGTTTACCCTCGCTCCCTCACTAGTCCCTCCCGACAGTACGGATCCAATCGACTCTCAAGGCACTGATCAAAATGGATAGCGCATCTCCCAGGCGTCGGGCTTCAGCTGCCCGTCACCTTTCCTTAGAGCCCTCACCCCCCGCTTCTCGTCGGCTATCTCACGAAAGCATAGACGCACAAGAAGCTGGCCACCAAAAGAAGCGCCGTCGTACCAGTCATTCTGGACGACAGGAGAACGCGGAAGCAGTCGACTTGACGGCGGCAGAGGATATGGACCCCGTGTCGAGGACACAAGCCAAACAACGAGCAGATGTTATCCTCGCACAGCAGTCCCTAGATCATAACAAAGGGGAGTCGGTTCTACTTGCTTACAAGTGTCCCGTCTGCATGGACACCCCGGTTGATGCTACCAGTACTGCATGTGGTAAGTTTATGCTGCAAAATTGCGGACTATCTAGCTGACTCAATCAAGGACATCTTTTCTGTCACAAATGTATTATGGATACCCTGAAGTTCAGCGAAGCACAACGGTCGGATATGTCTGGAAAAGGTCCACGGGGCACTTGCCCCGTGTGCAGAAAATACCTCTCGCGCAATGACTTGCCTGGTCCTAAGAGGAATCTCGTACCTCTTCAAATCAAACTTACGACTAGAAAGAGGACAGAGACCGCGCAATGAGCAGTCATTGTCAAAATCATTTCATGATTTTCCATTCAGCAACTCCCAACTCACTTTCGGAGCATTACGGGTTAAAAAGGGAAACGAGACGACTTGAAGATATGGAAGTGAATATATAGCTGCCATTTACTTCCTCGCATCAAGGTTATAGGGCCAGTCACCTCTGTGTTGAAGGCCCTGCTCTTGTGGAGTATCCATGAGGGATAACACCGGTGACTCCAAGAAACCTTGGCTTGAACCTGTAAAGAGGGACCAAGGCAAGATTCGCCGTGTTACGGCGGAATTTGGTTTACTCCGACCAGTTCGATAGAGCGAGTGTCTCCTTTTAGGCGTTCTCGGCATACTCTAGCATACTGTGTGTGGAAGACGAATCCTGGGGCGTGGCCCGGGGGATACCACGGCTCTTGCCTAGACTAAAACGTCGCGCCCGGCTTTAAGGAATAAGCTTACAAAAGCCAAGACCGAACGTGCAGTAGTAGCTTGTCCATCCACTAATGAGATGAAAACTTATCTACTCCGTAGTTTCTCTTCCTCCTGGCCTAAGTAGCGTTCTGTTATCTTACTATCTGTCGATCTTTAAAGAATGCGGATTTCCTTGCCGATGGAACAACCAGTTGGGTCCGTGTCCCGCGGCGACGTCATTCCCCCGCGAAGGAGAATCACGGTTTAGCGCTCTTTCCGTCTTAGCCATTTTTCCCTTCTATTCTCCTATTCAAAAGCTTATATCCACTAGCCTTTGCCAGCTCTGTGTTACTTTTTATTCCACCTCTGTGAACCAGTATGGCATATGTCAATGCTTGCGAGTGTCGTTCATTGCTGGCACCTTTTCGCCCTAACTGAGTGCCTCTACTACACCCACGAGCAGCATTGATTACATTGCAAGCATGAGTATCTACTCGCAAGATCATGCGCAGTCGGCAGCGGGACTGCAGTCGTCTCAAGACATAGCTGATATCGAGGCAAATCCGCGCACCCCCAATCCGCCCATATCTCCAACTTCTAAGGTGCCGCCTTCGCCTCCCCCTGAAACTTTCACCACGGCCGCCAGGCTCAACTCCCGTGAAACTGTCCGAAACCGACTTCGACGCTCCACCACCGCTCGCTCATACTATCGCGAGGATGGCGCGCTCGATCCGAACTGGCAGCCAGGGACGGAACCAGGCATTGATCCAAGCCAGCCACTTCCTGCTTATAGCACGGAATGGATGGCCTCAACGCCCGCAGAGCTACACGGGACAAGTGAAATCACTGTTGTGGACTTTTCGCAACATGAAATGAGACAATATGTGCTGGACAATGATACCCTTGAGCCGTTTCTTGCGCGAGAGAGAGAGCCTTGGGTACAATGCAGGTGGATCAACGTCAACGGACTCAGTTGGGATGCTATAAGGATCTTGGGTAACGAAAAAGGCCTGCACAGACTCGCGGTCGAGGACCTGATCAATGCAACAAATCGCACCAAAGTTGACTGGTACTCCGATCATGCATACATTGTGCTAAAGCTCCAGAAACTGATAAAACTCAAAGAAGATGACAGTGATTCTGAGGATGAGGAAGATGAAAATACCCACTGGACGAATGAACGCAAAAGTTCAGCAAGCAGCATTTCCCTGAGAAGGCCCACTAAAAGAACACTCGTGTTGGAAGCATTGAAAGACCTTTTCCGGCCGAAAACCCGCGAGGACAGTTCTGATGAACATTACCCTGGAAAGGATGCCCCCTCAGGTAGGGGGAAGTCTACTTCCAAAACATCTAACCTCGATGATGGTGCCAACGTTAGGTTCACGCCTCGTAGCATCCAGCGTTACCGCGGTGGCCCGAACGAGGACCGGATAGCCTTTATGGAGCGACATGCTATACTTGCGGCAAAGGGGCTGTGTGTTACTCTCGAACAGGTTTCGATTTTCTTACATGCGGATAATACCGTGACTTCATTCTTTGAAACCAGTGCAGATGATATTGAAGGTCCAATAGTCCGACGCCTCAGTACACCTGAGACGATGTTGCGCCAGTCGTGTGATGCTAGTATGGTCGTGCAAGCCATTCTGGATGCTATCATAGATTTGGCCATACCGGTGACCACAGCTTACCAAGATGTTATTGGTGACCTTGAGCTCGAGGTACTGACAGATCCAGACGTGGATCAGTCCAAAAGCCTATATGTCCTCACTTCGGAAATTGCAATCCTCCGAAACTGCATGCAACCAATCGCGACTGTCATCAATGCCCTTCGTGACCACCGGTCCGACCCTGTGCATACTCCTGGCCTGGGAGTGTTGAGGAATGTCGGGACCGCGACTCCTACAAATGATTGGAGTCCATACATTGGAACGGCCACACCAAACCTGAAAAGCCTGAGCGGATCGAGCGTCTCCATCAGTCCAATGTGTCATACATACTTAGGAGATGCACTAGACCATTGTATAACCATAGTGGAAGGCTATGATCAAATGAGAAGGGCTGCTGACAATATGATTGACCTGATCTTCAATACAATCGGTGAGTTCAATCCATGCCATCGACATTCCGTCTGAAGCTTATGATATCTAGGCGCCTATCAGAACGAGAGTATGAAGCAACTCACCATTGTGACATGCTTCTATCTTCCACTTACCTTCCTAACGGTGCGTGTTCTTTAAATTGCATACGCTGCTTATCTGACTGTAAAACAGGGTTATTTTGGCATGAACTTCACTTCCTTCGCTGGCATAGAACATAGCGATGCGTACGTCTATCAGTCCGTCCTGTAGCAATGACTAATTCAAGCTCCAGATACTTTTGGATGATTGCCGTTCCTTTTGTGTTCGTCACAACCATCTTCTTGATGTAAGTCTTACTTTAGCATTGAAACATAGCATCACTAACCCCCCACAGGCGCGACAAGCTGCAGCGTTACTTGGTGTTGCTTGCCCAGAAACGGCTTATCACCAGCTCTAGGAGGAGCAGACGGAGAAGGAGGGCCACCGAGAGGACATAGCCTTGTTATCCTCGGTTGACAATCATGCTCGTAGACCACCGGTAGAGATATTAGAATAGTCATATAGACATAATGATCACGATACAAAGCTACTAGCATCATATGGAATATGGGAGCGTTTACTGAGTTGATTGTTTCCACCAGACCAACGTGGCCACACGGTATACCACTCACAGAGTCAAATGCAATATTCAAACACTTCACATCCCAATACTATACTGGTATATCCTCAGCGGGAGTAAGTATCAAAATTTTCCGCACCCGGCCATTGCACCTGCAACCAGTCATCCATAGAGAACGCATAATCCAATCCCACATCCTCTTCTGGGACCAACATCGACGGCATCATACTTTCATCAACTAGTCACCACATTTACCCATTAGCAAGCAAACATGAACCTAGCCCACACTATTCAACTTACCATCCTCTACACCCACACTCTGACTCACCCCCAAGTCACCATCGCCATCACCACCACACACCCTCCCATTCGCACCATCCCCAGAAAAACCACGCTCCCCCACCCGCGCAAGAGTAAGGTTAACAACCTCAGCGGCCCTCGCCGCCTCGCGCGAAGTCGCCGTCGATCCACGACGCATCCAAATAGTCCTCGCCGTTCTCAAGGCATCCAGCACCTCCTCTCCCCTATCTATCGGCTTGCCCCGATGTACCAACGAGCAAAGAATCATCGTCGCGGTCAGAAACAAATGCGTCATACTAGACGTGATCCGCCAATGCATATCATGTAATTGACCCCCTCTGCAAGTCTCCTCGTCGAGGATGTGTTGGATACGTAGAGCGCCGAGTGATGCGTCGGTACAGGCGGTGCGGGAGTATGCGAAGTTGGGATTTTCTGGGTGTGGTTCACCACCGGCCGGTGGAGTGGTTAGGTTGAGGAACCGACGATGGAGCATGATCTGCCCCTTGAATAGGAGGTGTTGGAGAAACAGTCGGGACATGATCACCTGTGAGGAATCGGTCATGCTCGCTTGTAGGGGTTTGAAGCGGAGAGGGGGAGGGATATTGGAGACGGCGTCGTGAAGGGTCTTGTCCGCTTGCATTACTTCTGCGTAGCTTGCTGGTTGGACTGCGTCTGCTAGGTTGGATATACTGCCTAGGGCTAGGAGCATGCGTCTTCGCGCGATGAGTTCCAGTGTAGTGGTGTGTTCTGTTTCGGGTCTGCTGGGGGGTAGTGTAATTAGGGATGGGGTTAAGTCTGTATCGAAGAGGTTTCGTGGCTCGGCGGTATCCCATTTCCAGTCGGAGATCATTCGCGGCATGCCCATTTGGCTGGATAGGAGGATGTCGCTTGTTAGGACAGTGGTCCATAGACGACGGCGCATTTCGCCTTGCAATGGGGAAAGATTGGGGAAGTGGCTGGGATCGCGGTGGTAGCCCATTCGCATGGCGAGGTTGACTTCGAGGCCGAGTAGGAACCAGATGTTGCGGTTCGCGTCCGGGTTGATTCCGTACTCGATGTATACGTAGTGGACTAGGGTCTCGAGGACGTAGGGGCCGGGCTTGGTGTATTCGCCTATCATGAGGCACTGGACGATTTTCTCGCGGTAGAGTTCGAGTTGAAGCGTTTTCTGCTCTTCTTCGGCGCTGTCGGTTACGTCGGAGGCCATCACCGCTAGGCAGATCATGCTGAAGAGGAGGCCAATCCATACTATTGGCGTGCTTGTGGAGTCGGTCCAGAAGGATTCGTACTATGGTGTTTTTTAGTAACGATTGGAAGAATGGTCGGTGATGTTGTTTGGTTTATATCAACTTACCTCTTGAAGAAAGCTAGGCCCGTGGACCGCTGCTAATCATCCGAAGTCAGTGATACTGTCGCCAGAGCGGGATAGACCAGGGGTTCTCACCAGAAGCGACCAGATCGAGATAGTTGAAATACTTCGAAATATACCGGTCAACAGCGGCCTTTGGTGGAAATGCGGCGACGATTTCAGCCCGTGAGGCAGCCCGTTCACATCCATATAGCAACAACGCATGTCGGTGTGATGGTTTCACACTCATATTTTCAATAGACTCGGCCATTTTGATTTGTTCTTCACGGTCACAGTGCGCCTTCAGGTCGGCAATGCTATCCAGAATGGCCGCCCAGTGCTCACCGGCCACATACTGAAGCTCCGAATCGGTGATTTGCATGCTGCCACAATCCGACTGTGCATCTAGTACACTACCACCGGACCCTGGTCGAATACTGCTGCTGGGAGTGGTATCCGGGGTGGCAAGCTGTCGGACCTCATCATTATTGACTCCGTCAGGCATTAAGGACTTAACGAGACGCTCCAACTGGACTAGCCGGTCATGGAGTCCTGCAGCTGCTCCAACGGGCGTAGGCTGCAATGGGGATGCTGGTGGCTTCCGGGCCACATAGACGCATGAGTGACCGCGTGCGACGCAGCTGGTACAGGGCTGTAGTCGATCGCATCGAGACTTGCGCTGGCGGCATGCAATGCACGAAAATTGAGGTTTATCACGTCGTCGACGAGGTTTTGGAGCGGGAGTCCCGGAAGATGAGGACATTGAGGTAAGTGATGAATGGTGAAGCGGACAAAATATTGTTGATGATGGGGAGTCAGCGCGGCCTTAATACTACATCAACTAGTAGTAGAAGGACCCGGCACTATCTTAGTTGCAGGAAGCAGCCCAATCGGAGGAGCATCGCATATACGAGGTCGCCCTCCGATTAGCTAGAATTAATGACTCCACGTGTTATGAGGATTCTACAGGAAGGAATCAGTGTAGTATTGAAGTGTGCAATGGTAGCTCACGAGTGGCTGAGTCCATAGGGCTTAACTGCTATCAGCATTACATCCAATTCAGGCGATATGATTGTAGGAACGAATTGCATTCTACCCAGGATATCAATACATTTGGCAGAATATAAAAATACATTCATTTTCCCTCCTGATATTGTGTTCCAAACTTGAAAAGGAACGTAATCATGAAAACACCTTCAAACATTACTGCGCCGACCGTGTCCAGTTCCCAAATCCAACAATACTCGTAACTTGTGGAATCCGTTAAAGCATCCAATCTCGAAATGTCAACCAATTAACGTGTTAATATCATAGTAGCCACCTCATCTATGCCTTCGTGCCGTTGCCGTTGCCGTTACCATTGTGATGGAGAACCTTGGACACTTTCTCCTTCAGCTGAGTAATGGGGCCGTGATGCTGGTGGCCGTTTCCGTTACCCTTGTTCTTCTGTGCTGTTGCTGCGGCGGCTCCTTCGCTAGAACTTTTGCTGGTATCGGGTCCTAATATATGTTAGCCAAGTTCGAAAACTAATTGGAAAGTAATACAGTGGCATACTAACCTGATGGTTTCGAGCGGCTGTACCCACGATCCAAGCGCTTCTCAAACTCGTAGGGCTCCCGCGCGGGAGTCTTAGGGCCTTTCAGAGCTTCCTCGCTCACTTTGGTGTTCTTGGGAAGCTTGTCCCCGGTGTCATCTGCGCTCTCTTTGCCTTTCTTCAGGGAGTCAACACCGTCTTCTTCGGTCATTCCTGCGCCGCTGCCTTTCTGGGCAGAGCCAACCGCGGCGCCGCTCTCATCCTGTGTTGATTTGTCCTGATAGACCCGAGCTTCTTTATTCTGCACCTGGCTCCTTGCGTTTACTGAATCTACTCCACTGGGAGTGGACTCGGATGCTGATGGAGTTGACTTGGCTGCGGACAATCTCTCTTGTTGGGCATCCCGTGCCTTATCGAGGTTGCCATAGGCACTCTGCTGTCCGACAGAGCCCCCCGCAATCGCTGAGCTAGGGGATGTGGTATTCTGCTGCATCGAGCGGGCTCTAACATCGTCGTCATTGACGCTCTGAACAGTTCCTTGGCCGGCATTGCTGTTCATCCCCTGTTGTCCAATGACGCCTCCAGCCACACCTCCAGCCATGCCTCCAGCAACTGCTTTACTGCCGTACTCATTCTCCTTCTGCATTGATTTGGCTGCGTCATCTGGCATGCGCTGAGCAGACTGTGCAGCGCTTGAGGCCCGTTGGTTTGCCGTATCTTTCTTTATCGATGTAGGAACCCTCACTTGCTCTTGTGCATCCACGTCATCCTGAGCCACCTGTCCGGAATAGGCATAGGCGCCAGTAGGGCCGGACATTTTCGACTTGCTGGAGACACCCTGATCCCGGGACGTAGGGACATTGTCACGAAGGTCAGTGCTGTCCCGGACTCCTTGTCCGGAGTACGCATAGGCTCCAGTAGGACCTGAGATGTTTGACTTGCTCGAGACTCCTTGATCCCTGGCCGCGGAGACATCTCCACGAAGATCCGTGGTTTCTTCAACTCCTTGTCCAGAATAGGCATACGCGCCAGTAGGACCCGAGACGTCTGACTTGCTTGAGACCCCTTGATCCCTGGCCACAGAGGTGTTGTCACGAAGATCAGTGGTGTCCCGGACTCCTTGTCCAGAGTAGGCATACGCGCCACTAGTGGCTGAGGAAGAACCCGCAGTGTCTCTGCTCTTCTGGGTATACTGGCCTCCCATACCGGAGGTATGGCTTCCTTGACCATAGGTGGACATCTGGGTTCGCTGCTCGGGAACAGCAGCTTGAGACTGCCCTTGCTTGATACCAGAAGAAGCACCTCTTATGGGGTAATTCATCTGCTGACCCTGGTATGGCTCACTGATGAAAACATTCTTGGGGCCGTAGTCGGCATTGCTGGGTGACTTGGGGTTGCGGGCGTGATCAGCATCGGTAGATGCAAGTGGTTCGGGGATGACAGCGGTGTTATCCTTTGTCCTGGGAGCACCAGGTTGTTCTAATTGGTGTTAGCTTCACATTGATCGTGATTCGTCTGGCAGAGCATGGAGTGATTGAGGAGTTTCTTACCGTCACGGTTTCCGGCATCATAAGGATCGGTGGCAGTTCCTTTGCCTTGGATTCCAGAGAGAGGCTCATCGCCATGCTGCTGGTTTAATTGGCCATCGGGAGTTTGGTTGGGATGGATCTCGTTCCAAAGAGCATTTGAGGCGTTGTTGAAGGTTCGATTTATGGTCTCCATGTTTATATGTGTGGTTGAGTTCAATTGTGTGATATTCAGATGAAGGGTAAGCTTAAGCTACTTCAGAAGTGCCGGACGCCTCGTTTATGAATGGATGGAGGCGATAATCAAAGAACTCTGACGACACAAAGGCTGGTTAAACTGCGGGATGCGAGTTTTTCTAGAAAGGCAAGAGAATAGCAATACATTATAGTACGTCAGTGGCACGAGGCGAAAGCAGCGCAAACAGACAAGCATAGAGGAGCGTATTGTGTCGATCACAGAACCCGCGATGTCATCACTCCATCCCGTGACGTCAAGGAACGTCACCTGTCACGTGGGGAACACTGGACCGACCAACTGGCACCGACAATGCAAGAGACGGAGCAGCAGACCAAAGTCAATTAAAATTCTATGGACAAAGAGAGAGACCCTTGGGGGCTGCACAATTGGAACGGTGACTCGTAGATACTTAGTCTCCCTCATTCGAACGCCACCATAAAATGCACCCCAGAAGCAAGCAAATAATGAAAACACACTATGAAATATTCGCAGTAAGAATGCAATACCCTACGACCAATATCAGTGCCAAATCTGAATCATGCTGACCTTCGCGCAGAAGCAACTGCGAAGGTCTCGTAGCCGAATATGGACGCCACGGTCGATCTCAAACTATGTATATATCGGGTAAGAGAGCCACGGAACCTGTCAGGCTTGTTTGCTCGTCTCCGCGGCATTCTTCGCCTCTGGGTTCAACGGCTGTTTGGGATCGTATCCCACACTTTTAACCACCCCTAGTCCCTTGGTCTTTCCCTCCCGGAAAAGCACTCGATCTCCGGGGGCCAAGAATTCGGGACGCTGTACAAATCTGAACGCAACCAATGCGCGGTCACCGCCCCGAATGAAGGGACGATCAATGTCAATGACGGAGCATGTTTGACTTACTGCGCCGACATGCAGCATTGCTTGATAGCGAGGCTTGATCGTGGTGGCGTGAGATATGATCAGGACTAAACAATCAGTACAACAGAATGAGGAGAAAGGGAACAACTAGTAGACGCACCCTCAGCGACGAACTCCCTGTAGACTTTCGGCGGCTGGTCCAACTTCTTTAGAACTACCATGCCCTTACGGACCTCCTTCCGTCGGACACGTTTCAAAGCGAAAGAGCCCGACTGGCCTGCAAAACAAGCGTTGACCTGAATACGCTTGCGCTCGATGGACTTAATCGTGGTAGTCGTGAATTGACCGAGAGAGTCAGGCCCAACCAAAACAGTATCGCCAGCGTGTATCACACCCGACTTGGCCACCCCAGACACAACTGTACCCACATGAGGCACAGAGAACGTATCATTGATGAGGAACTCGAACGGAGCATTCACATTGTATTGGCCGCGGTGAGGAAGGATATTCAGGAACGTCCGCACAAGGTCCAGATTCTCTCCAGTGACATTGGACACCTGGAAGATCGGGCAGATCCGCTGGCTCACAAACTGTGTCGCCGTGTTGATGGTTTCTTCCATGTCCTTTATGAAAATGGGAATCTTGCGGGAACCAGGCGACTTGAGAAGTTTGCTGAGCTGGGAAAGGGTCTCCTCCAGAATCTGCGGTGGGCAAATATCGATCTTGGTGACAATTACCATGACCGGCACGTGTAAAGCCACAGCAATACCCAGGTGTTCTTTGCTCATGCCAATGAGGCCATTGTTAGCCGCGACCATGAGTAAACAGTAGTTGGGGCTGCTGCTCAGCATGCCAAAAACCGTAGTCCGCAGGTACCGTTCATGCCCAGCGAGATCAGAGAAGGATATTACTTTGGCGGAACGCCTTCCTATATCTTCCCAGGACATCTTCCGCCCATGAGCGCTGCTTACAATGTCACCACGGCTGTCGAAGCCCATTATCTCCATCCCTACCGAGCTGGTCCGACCGCTCTCGATTTCGTGCTTGTGGCGGAACAGATTGAGTCGAGCCTTTCCTCGGCCATCATCCAAGTTTCCCTTGACCAGCACACCCAGCATGGTACTCTTACCTGCGTCAACATTACCAACCACTGCCATGCGGATCTCAGCCATCTCCTCCACGGTGCCCGCTGGCTGCCGGATCAAGAGCTTGCCCCAAGAGCCTTTGATTCGCTCATGCTTCACGCGCGATTCTTCAGGCCCGCCAACATTGTAGGTAACAAGGATCCGACAGTGAGCAGGGAGGGTTTCCGCCGCTTCCCGCAAGCGCTGCAAAGCTGTATTCCACTGGCTCAGATCAAAGGACATGGAATCCCCGCCATCTTCAAGACCCAGGTCGAAGAGCGTCTCACCATGTCCTTCGTCAATGCGCGTCTGTAGGATGTTGGCCAGGACTTGGATGTCATGGTCTGGCTGTTCACCAGTGCCCAGGAGCAACTCCTTCAACTTGACCGGTTTCGGAGCATCCGCGAGGTCTAGCTGGTCGAGAATATCCAGTTCGGCATGGTCTTCAGGTACTGGAGCTGCGCTGGCTGTTTCGTAGCCGCTGTCACTGGGCAAATACTGAGCTGATCGCTGGGCCTGTTGCTTTTCAGCGTACTCGGCGAACTCGCTGAGGGCCTAAATGTTGGCTACGTGTTAGCGGGAATGCCAGATTGCTTCGCGGGGGGGTTGCGCACAATCTCGCCTCTCCGCCGTTCTCCCAACGAAGGCTTAGATTCAGCCGTCCGCATTTTGCTGGCTATATTGGTCGATGATTAAGATGATGGCAAAAGCAAATAGTTCGGAGCAAAGGCACGTTATCGATCTGCGATATGATGCGTCACTCGATCGGGTGGAAGATGGATCGCCGCTGGCGCGTTCACACACGTATTCGTGTTATCATACTTTTATCTATAGAGACGAGATCAGATAGGGGAGTAAGAATAAACCAAGAAGAATAAGGATGTAGGGAAGGGTCTGAAGTAGGATAGGTGAATGAGAAGGCGGATTGTGAATGATATTTCAGGAGGAAAGATAGACAGTGAGTGTCGGGTAGGGAACCGGGGAAGCTTTATCGATAGGAAAGTGCGAGTCATCGCCGCCTCGTGCGGCCCCCAAGCAAATTATTGAGTCATACGGCTCAGCACAGTCATTCCCTCCATGCAGCTAAGGCTATGCTGGAATGATGATGGTCTTGTCACCGCTACAGTAGTCAATTTTTTATTATCTGTTTTGGGCCAGGTTGCAAACCAGAAACACTGGTCGCTGCTGTTGGTTTCATCGCTACATATGCCAGTATGGCATGATGCCATGATACCACACGCCTTACACCTTCCTGATGCCTCTATATCTGATATAAGAAAAACCTGCAGGCCCAAGCATGACCGAGTACGTGAATACACTAAAAGATAAATTCGTATAGCCTGGAAACCCTGTAACATCGCCTGGTGTCTTCGTGGTCTCGTATTTCGTAGCTTGGGTGAGGGGTGGCCCCAAGAATATCCGATGTGATCCGCCTTCCTACTTATTATTGCCTCCCAAATCTTATGCCTGAGGAGAAATCAAGACGACAGAGTCTCCTATCGTAAAAGGTCAGTATGACAAGCCCCGGGCTCTACCGGGAACAGCATCGCGAAACGCACCTCGAACGAAGAGCATCTCTTCTTGCTTCTTGATGGTCTGAAGACAATCAACCTGCGTTAGCCCAGCTCCGCACTATTATAATACCGCCCTAATTGATTGTCCTATAACCGAGGTAAATGGATAGAGCGACGTACCCGGAGGATCTCTTGCTCGTTCTCGTCTTCCTCCACCACGTAGATGGTCTCCTCAACATCCCCTAGCACCAGGTTGCAATGGCTATCGTATGCCTACCCAAGACCATCTGTCAGTAAAAGCCACGTGGCCAGGGGCTGGGGTGAAGGCGTAAGACTCACATGGAGACGGCCCTTGAGCTCGCGATCGCCGCGCAGCTTGACGAAGACGATTTCATCGAGCGACAGGCGCACCAGATCTAAGGGCTCGGAGACGGACGATGTGCCCGCATCCTCGGTGTCGGCCATGTCGAGGTCGAGGGTGGGTGGAAAAGGAGAGACTGAAGCGTTAAGCTAAGCGAACGAAAGGAAGGGGGGAAGGATCCAAGCTGCAGCGTGTACAGCAGACGCGGGACATGGATGGTGAAAAAGGCTACAGAGTCTGACAGGGATCTGGCCCGCCAAGACCACAACAAGCGGCACCTCCTCATTTACTCCGCTTTTATAGTCGCAGCTCGATTCCCCCCCAACTTTCGACGGCCTGAACACCCCCGGCTTTTTTCTTACGTTCTTTCATGTTTGCTGTCCTCAGTTCACAATGCTGGGGTTTATTCGTACCAGTGAGAGCTTGGGCTCTCATTTGGTGTGTCCTACGTACCGTCGATGTCGATTAACTCACCTACCTCGCTGTTCTCCACTTCTTATACTTCGGGATCCTACGCGCCGCCAACGATCATCCGGATCACATTTACATCCTCGATATCGGAACGACGACAGCAGCAATCATTCTAGGAATAAAGGCTGGTTCGCTAATAGGCATGCTCCACAGCTGGGACGGGGAGCCACGGGCATACTGGAACCTGGTCAGGTTGACGGGGGCGATCATGAGATCTCCAATGCACAAAACGACAGAGGGCGCGACATTGGGGCTGGTCCCCGGGTCGAGAGCTTTGAGGATGTGAAGAGACATTTCAACGCTATCCTCCGAGATGGCCAACCAGACCAGGTGATGGATGCGATGCTTGATCCTCGCTTTGAGAGCTTGGTTTGCTTAATGCCACCCAGCACCTTTGTCGAAGTCTTTCATCTCCTCTCCCCGGCTTACTTTATCGATCCCTATCGGGAAATCCATCGTCCCATTCATCCGTCAGCTGTCGATGTCAAGCAGTACAAATCACTGGACTCGATTTTCGACGAGTTTGCCAGTAACCTTTCTGCCATCCTGCAGATTAGGTGGGCGGGCGGCCAACCCTTGGGCCTGGCTGAGTACACGCACCTGCTCGATTGCGCACGCTCAATGGGCGACGCCATCATGGCAGACTATATCTGGCAAACAATCAGGGAGGATGGAATGGTGCCGGATTCCCAGTGCTATAACCACTACATGGAGGCGAAAGTCTGGGATAGAGCATACACCGGCTTGGAGAAGTATCGCCTCAGAATGACCCCTTACCTATATCGGAAGAGGAGATTCTTCGAACCCAACCCCGGATGGCAAGGTTACGGTACGGCTGCCCGAAGTGTGAGAAAAGAAGTGCTGCAGATCTTCAACGAGATGACACAGGAGGGTACCTCGGGGGACACCACCACCTTTGTCAATGTGATCCTTGCGTCAAGCCGAGTTGGCCATATGCAAGGAATCAAGAATGTCCTGTACACCGTCTGGAACATTGACGTCGATGCGCTGCTAGACCAGGTCGATGAGTCGATGCTTCCAGAAGTGACCCCATACGACCGTTCCTCACCGCTGTACCCAACAAACCACCTGCTGTTCGCCGTAGCTCATGCCTTTGGCACCAACAATGACATCCCTGCCGCGCTGCGCACCATAGATTTTATTTCGAACAAATATGACATCCCGGTGCCGGAGAATGTCTGGCTCGAGCTATTTGAGCGATCGTTCGTCTTGTCGCGTCCGAGGTTTGGCCCCGACGCTGAAAGAAATGCGAAGGGCCAGGTTTCCTATGACTTCCTCAACTCCATGTTCGAAACAATGACATCCGAGCCTTTCAACGTGCGTCCAACCATCGAGGTGCACCATATCCTCGCCAAAACTGCGTGGGATCGCGCCAGGCTGTCGGAATTCCAGCACCATATGGAAGCTGCGTATAATATTCTAAGGGAGACACGAAAGAAGAGAAGAACTGCGAGGTCGATAATAGAGGCATATCTGGGACAGGCACAAACGGAAATCCTCAAATCACGAGCCTTTGCAGATGCTGTGCACGCATATGACATTCTGCGCTTGCGCACGATGCAGCAAACCGTTGTCATGGAGCGTCTTGCAAGACTATTGCTGATTCACCATCGTTGGCTGGGTCGTCGGAACCAAGCGTGGGAACGCACCCTCCTTCCGCAGGCGCTGGAAGAATGGCGAGACTTTTTGCCAGAGTCCGTGGTATACCATACCCGAGGAGGGCTCGTTGAATTCGATGGCGCTACCTCCTGGCGCCAGCGTAATATTAGAACCCATGATAGAGTACCAGTCCGGCGGCCAACCTTTGGAACGAACTTCGAGCTTGATGACGACGCAAACGATATAGACGACGACATTTTCTGGGATTATTATCGACAATCTGCCCCCCATCTTGATCTGTCCATTCCACCCCTGAGAAGGCTGTTCGAAGCTGTCCACGAAGACAATGTCAGTAGCACTTACGACGACGAAGCTTTCCTGGCGGAAGAACTGGGATACGAAAATGGCGAGTATGAGATCCCTAGAGTTACCACAAGGACGCCCAGACGAGCGCGCTCTACCACTTGGGAACGCCAAGCAGGAGAGGAGGACGATCCCATAACCACAGGTCCGGGTCCTCTCTCATGGGCTTGACTCTAGCTCATATCCGAGCCACTTCGCTTTCTCTCGCTCTCTTCATCACCATCTTCTTTTTCTTTTTTATTCTTTTTCTTACTTCGATTGTGACTTTCATCCCCGCATCTGGAAAAGTTAACAATTCGCGGATACCTTCATTCATCCCTGAATTCTTTCTTTCGCTTTTGTTTCTTTTCTTCATGGCCTGAAGCGGGATATATGATGAGCTAATCTTTGGCTGTCAGTTATGATACCTCATGTGTGCATGTATTGCCTTACCTGAGCGGATACCCTGTCTATATGACATGTTACATATTGAGCTCCTTTATGCTTTTCGAATATTAACATTTTTCTTTTGATTGTGAGAATATGGTCTTTCAGTAAGCAAAATAGTAGTCAGTATCAATCCTTCGAGCCATGCTCTTCTCGAGACGACGGGGTGCATACCTATACAGAAATGGAACTTGACCTCTGGACATAGATCTCAGACGACGTCAGTCCACCAAGGATTCAATCATAATCATATACATACAATGCGGGTATATGCTACAAAACGCAGGGCACCTATCCAGTCAGTTCACTGAGCCTATAAACAGGCTCCGCCACCATCATCATCATATCTTCTCCGCCTTCAAATCATTCACCACCATGTACCGACCAATCGTAATCCAACCCCACCGGAACCACACCATCTGGCTCTGATGAGCCTTAACCATAGCCGACTGCGCAGTCATCCACTCATTAACGGAACTGACGAACAACAGCCGCGACGGGAGCTGGCCCTTAGACCCAGCACCACCACGGCCCAGAATGGAATGCAACGCGCCCCGAACCATCGTGAACGGCGCATCCAGAACACCCGCGTACTTGCGCAGCAGATTCGTCGTGGTAAGCGTATACAAAGTGACCGGACAGGTATACCCCGATTTATCCTTCATCAGGGACCGCAAGAAATGCACAGCGCCGTGGTACAGAGACCGGTGGTTAGGGTGGTTGCTAATACCTCCCTTGTCGAAGGTCAAGAGCACGTCGATAGTGGCCGTAGGTGCAGAGCCGGCTTTGTTCGATTTCTTCTTGGAAGAAGAGGTGCTGTCGCTGAGTTCGGGGGCAAAGGCGTGTTCGAGAACAGCTGATACGTCGGACTCTGTCCATTGGACGGACATGCTGTCGCGGAATCGGGAGGGGTCGTCGATGATGTATACGTCTGATTCCTGGCGTAGACCTAGTTGCAGGGCGCTTTTCACGAGCTCCTTTTTGCGGATGTGGCCCAGGCCGTCGGCGTCTCCTGTTTCGTGTTGCGAGTGGGTGTTAGTGGTGTGTATATTGGGGGGGAGGGGTGTTTTTCCGATGGTTTATGTGGGTGCTGCTTACC